TGAAATGTATTACTTTTACATATTAATCCATAGCGATAAATTAAATCCGTCCCATGGGCATAAAAATCTTCAAATAATTCAGTACTCAAAGGGTTAACGCTGAACCATGGAGGCTTATACCATGACCAGGGTGCGGATGAGATTCCCGCCTCGAGAAAAGACACTGCAATCGCCCAGAAGAGGAGAAGATGCGCGGATCTATTTTTCTAGGATCAAGGAAATAATTGAAGTTCGCGGGCGAATTGGGCCGCGTAGGGGCTAGCGCAAATTTGAATGGGCCCAAGGGTAAATATTCCTCCGCGCCACTAGGGCACGTTAGCGGGCGAACGTTCGGGTAGCGTCACTTACGGTGTAGCTAAGCCTCTGTGCGGAGGGTGCTCCAAAAAGTAGTTTCAGATAGTGATAGTAAGAGTGACATGCGGAGAGAAAATATAGAGGATTTGGATAGTGCTATGAAGGGTGAGTGACGCTACCGAGTTTCATAATTGTGCAATTGATTAAGAGTAACGGGATCATAGACCTAGCTGCTGGATCTTCGATCCAGACAGCGCGCGCCGCCTTCCGCTTGAACGATCGTAAGGATCCGATGCTAGCCAACACGGTGGCGATCTGAAGGATCAGTTCTCTTGTATCAATAGTTAGCTTTTAGATTTGTGTTTAATTATTAGTGAAGCATATTAAAATACGTTGCATGTACCACCTACTTATTCAGTTTACGCTACGCGTAATCGTTTCGATCTGGCGTCACGTAGTATAAGTGCCGCGCAGTGGTACGCTTTTCTCCCGGCGGTAGATTCGTAGATGCCCGGAAGGCAGCTAGGGGGATTGCGTACTTTCTGACTGATATTTTCAGTAGTTTAATAGGCCTCCGGAATTGCTTCCGACCGCAGAATTATTCGTGACGGGATAGGCTACGCGCGCTAGACGACCAGCGAAAGATCTAGATTCCCAGCGGGGTATCTACATATTCGGAGTGTCAGGTGTCTTGACGGGAGGTCAAGCACCTCTATTGTTACCGTGTTCGAATTGGTAAATATTGTGAAGTTGATAAGGCCACTGATCAGCTAATGTAAATATTATCGTTTTTATTCGTTGCGAGTGCAGGGCGTAACACGCGTACTGTTGCCGGAAGCATTTACCTTTCCTAGAATTAATCCTGTCTGGGTTTGTATTGCGTAAGGAATCGTTATTCCTTGTTAGTTGAATTTTATGGGTCCGTTGGTCCCTACGGAATTAATTGTTTTCAATTAGCGATGTATTGTATTTCTTAAGGGACTGTTGTTCCATATTATTATTATTCCCGTTTTCTCAAGTCTTAGGAACCGTTGTTCCTATTCGCGTTTATTCTCTGGAACTGCTGTTCCTTCTATAATATTATTCTTCATTTTATAAATTATTTTGGAACCGTTATTCCTTACCATGTTCCATTATTAACAAATTTTATTATATTATTTTTATATTCATTCTTATTTTTCTTGTGTTCAATAAATCGGACATTTCTGTGGGTTCCGTGCATTTAACTGAAGCCTCAGATCTAATTGATTTTAGAAAACCCTTTTCTTTTGTGTTGTCGAGTTACTCTAAATTTCAGCTTTTGTGATTGTCTCCCAGACCCAGGACCCCACCGCACAAGAGCTGGCCAGGGTATCCTCTGGAGACAGCGGTGTACCTCTCGGTGTGCCTTGCGCCCAGTAATATAATAGGTTCAATCATTATTTTCAGCGGTGCCGGTTACTTGTGTGTCACTGTTAAAACCTGTCATCACAATGGTATGCGGCAGCGTCGCATTTTCGACAGGCATACAAGAACGTGAACGCGTGTGAATGTGAGAAAAATTTGCGAGTCGTGTGGAGCGTATGTATACAGGGTGTTCCGAATTTACCTGACCAACGGGATCTGGCGGTGTTCGGGAGACACCACTGATCACGAAAATGACCTTCCTTTTCTCCGGAAGGTCATAGTTTTTAAATAGGAGCAGGTCAAAGTTGACCAATCAGAGGGAGGCGTCAAGAGAAACGTAGGCACTTACGAACTCTGAGTTTTCTTCCCTCGCTTTTGTTTCTCGGTGGCTTCGGGCAGGATGACGTTAGCCGAAGATATGCCTATTGGAAACAAGAAACAAGAAAGAAGCCACCGAGAAACAAAAGGGAGGGAAGAGAACTCAGAGTTCGTAGGTGCCAACGTTTCTCTTAACGCCTCGCTCAGGCTGGTCAACTTTGACCTGCTCCTATTTAAAAACTATGACCTTCCGGAGAAAAGGAAGGTCATTTTCGTGATCAGTGGTGTCTCCCGAACACCGCCAGATCCCGTTGGTCAGGTAAATTCGGAACACCCTGTATACATACGCTCCACACGACTCGCAAATTTTTCTCACATTCACACGCGTTCACGTTCTTGTATGCCTGTCGAAAATGCGACGCTGCCGCATACTTTTTTTTATAAAACTACTGAAGGCGTTGATATATTACGATAAACACATTTTTTCTTTTTTATGATGAAGAACCTCAAGAATATGTACGTTTCAACTGTCGAAAATCAAAATAATTTTATTAATCACAATTTTTCATGGAGAAACGAAAAAAAAACTAGACGTTGTCTTGACTAGCAAGTTACTCTCGAACTTCCTTAACGTCATTCTACAATGCAACGGATCACATAACACGGAAGAAATAAGCAATAAGATCTTCAATTGTACATTTACCTAATTCCATTGGATCCTCCAATCAAGAAGGAGAAAATCGTTTTTAAAACCGAGCGTTTACTAAGTCTCTACGATTATGGTGACGTCTTAAACATAGCAACGATACGGAAGCGAAGTATCGTTGCTATGTATTTTTAACGTAAGCCGTTACAGAGATTTCGGAACGGCATGCTCGATGCTACTCATCCCGTTCCGTGCTCCGTGAAATACGTAATATTTCGCCAATATTTCCATGCGTGAAATGTCATTACCTGTCACCTGTCATTACCAACTCTATAGACGAGGTCATTATCAATATCGTTAGAGAAATCAAATTTCTCTACGATAAAAGTCATCGTGATTTTAAAAATGAAGTAATGATTTACTTATCTATATTGTAACGTTCCGACCTTTATCTTGTTCCCTATCCCTATCCTTTATTCTTGTTCCTTCCCAATCATTCATTCTCGATGATGGATACGTCAAGAGCCCCACATAAGAGTGCATAGCGCACTGTGGATGTGCATAACAGTATCTGAGAGAACTCCTCAAATCCTAGAATTCCTCAATAATCCTATCGACCTCTCAAAGCGACGCCGATAAAGGAAAAAGAATATAGGACCTTTAATTCTCTAATATTGCATAATTCCCTTGAACCTAGTCACAGCGACAGTCATGAGGATATAATATTAGAAATTATTACCTTTAACATTCCTAGAATCCTAAAGACAGTCTACAGACTGAAATCAAAACAAACAAGTGCCCAGACGCTATAAGCCGGCGCACGCCGAATACAATAGAAATACCAGTAAGCCGGTACTTGAAGAAACCGGTAATCCAATTAGCCAAATCAAATAATCAAATCAAATAATAAATCAAAATATTAAATCCAAAAAGCGACGTTAACACCTCGGGTGGATAAAAATCGTTATCCCCACTAGTTTTAACGTATTCCTACC